CCAACATAGTGAAAACAGCCATATTCTCAAAATTGTTAACAGGTTTAAGTCAATCCTGGATCAAAATTCCAACAGTATATCTCACATAACGAGAGAAAACAATCCTGAAATTCATCTGGAGTCAGATGAAAACTAGAATAGTGAAAAAACAATTCTAGGCAACTAAGGAAAGTCAGGGTGCATCACAGTTGCTGACTTGAAATTATACTGCAGAGCTGTTGTGATAAAAACCAGCCAAACAAACAAGCAAACAAAACACCTGAAGATCAGTGAAACAGATTAGAAGCTTCAGAACAACTCCAAATACATTCAACCACATTATCTTTGACAAAAGAACAAAACACATTCACTGGAAAAAGTCTCTTTTTTAATAAATAGAGATGAAAAACCTGGCTTTCCACATGCCAAAGACTAAAACTAGATCTATGCACCAAACAAATCAAAATGAATCAAAGGCCTAAATATTAAAACAGAAACACTAAACTTGCTGGAAGATAGAATAGGTAGAGTGCTTGAGGACTTAGGTATAGGCAAAACACTTCCTGAACAAAACTCTGATTGCACGGGAAATACCACAAAGAAGCAGTAACTAGGATCTCACCTGCTCTAGACAACAAACGATTCCACATGAGAAATAAATGTCTTACCTTGTTTTGGCTGTTATTTGGGAGTTCTGCTGCTTGTCACTAACCCTCCTCTAATTAGGCAAGTTCAAAACAGCAGTTCTCCAAGTGCAGAAGTACAGACTTTTCATTTTTAAAAATCTGTGAGCTCAAACTATTTTTATAATAAGACATCATCAACTTTTTCACTACTGTAATATTCACTGATGGTGCAAAAGCAAAGATGGAATTTCAGGTAGGGTTATACATGCCAGCTACTCCAGACATTCGGGTGGGCCGAACAGATAAGCCCAAGAGTTTAAGGAGCGAGGAAGAGAGGGAGAGTGAGCAAGGTGGGAGGGGAGAGGCACATCAGCAAGCCGGCCGGCTTCATTCAGGGTTCCCATCAGGCAGTAAGGGCCATATGTTATAAATCTTGACTGTTCTCCATATGAAGAACTGAGAAGTGTACACCAAGTACTTTGCGGACAAAATATAAGACGGCTGTCATGAGGAAAAGGATTTGTAACTTTTGTGATAAAGTAGACCATTCATTTTTTGGATGGGGGCTGGGAATTAAACTCAGCACCTCGCACTTGTCAGACAGGTATTTGTGCCGCTGAGCTATGTCCTCAGCCCCTAACCTAGGTATTCAACATGGATTATTTGACAGACATATTTCAAACAGGACCCAAGTGAACTGTCACTGCAAAGAAAACCAATGGTGTTGTTGCTTTCCAGTGAAAATCAGAACTTGGAAAATGTATATCTGCCATCTGAACCTAACAACACCTCAATATTTAAAGGGCTTTCTCAGAAGAAGACTGATCATATTACACGTGATTTAAAAAACCGCATATGGTAAAGTACATTAACATTTCGAAGATCTGCATAACTAAGTGAATCAGTCGTTTTCAGATTGAGTGCACTACAAAATTTCGCAAGGGGAAAAGTTACAAAAGTACACAGCAACGGATGTTAATGCAGTTCAACGCAAGACTTCATTGATGGGGATTCATACTCTACACAGCAACTAATTCTTTAGAAACTACTGATCATCCAGTTTGGATACAGAAAACAAGTCATAGAAAAAGTTTTAAAATATTCCTTTTATAATAACATATATGGAAGAGGCTAATTTTTCTTTATTTACCCCACACAAAACCACACATAAAACAGATATAGTGCAAAAACAAACAGGAGAACCCAACTGTCTTGTCTCATGACAAAAAAGGTAATGTTACTTTGTCAATGCTTTGAGAATTTTCACAAAATATGTATTATAACATCAAACTAGTTTATTTTTAAATAAGTAATTTTTATAATTTCTCAGTTTTCATTTCTAATACAGTAAACACATAACCCTCAGATACTAAAGTTCTTTATGGATCTTAATATTTTCAGAAGTTTTGAGGCCAGAAAGCTTAAAAAAAATCTTTGCTTTATGATAGTAATGCAACATAATCACAGAGTTGTTCTCCTGAGACGTGAGGAGAGCAGTAAAAGTAACATTAAGCCTAGAGGTGGATAAATAACAGAATGTTAATAAAAAGAGAAAAGAGGGAGAGATTCTAAAAACTGTAGATCAATATATTTGATATTAATCCCCAGGGGGAAGTTAGAACAGATTAAACAGAAAGTAAAGTGGTAACCATTAGTTTCCAGCACAAGATTACTAGGACTCAACAATGCCAAACAAAGCAACATTTGCTCCTTGGTAACTGCTTTAAAAGAAAAGAATGTATATACATATTTTATTTCTCATTAAGCATCTGATGTTATAAACAATGGTTTATAACTGGCAGTACATTAATGAATCTGCCTAAAGCAAAATGTGATAAAGTTAGAAGTGCTACAGAATATGACCAAGGAAGTCATGTTTCAGTGTTGATCCAGAATGGGCTAAAAGTCGAGTCCAAATCAAATCCCTGGCAAGAAAATCACAGTGATGTGGGCACAGTGACACTCACCGGCCAAGGGCCCCTGAGCACACACGTGCCAGGTACTTTACAGGCACATTAAATGGGAGGAGGAGGACAGGAGATCTCATTCTCTGTGGAACTGACTTTTAAAACACGGTCAGATGTTGTTCTTCTTATGAAATGTGAGCTCTTTGCCTGAGCTAATAATGCAGATGACTTTTGTTCTCCTCCCAAGTAGGGGTGGGGAAGAAAAGAGAAAATCCTTGATTCATGCACCTGTAAAGTAACAGCACAGGACATAAAATGCATTCTAAAAGCATTTCTATCACCCACGGGTGAAGAAAAGCAGATAAGGAAAAGATCAGAACTGACACTTCGTAGAGGAGAGTGGTGGTACTAATCGGGCTGGCATGCAAGAAAGATAAAACCTTAATTCTAATTATGTGGTTAAAAAGAAAAACTGCTTTTAAACCCCATTTATGTACAACATTCACACACGTGCTTTGAAAGCACTACACAAAATAAGGCTTTCACTCTGGCAGCAAACTTGCTTTATCCTACTTTGAGGGTTTCTCCTCCCAGCTGCTCCCAAAGGTAGTGCCTGTAATTCTTCAGCCATCACTCACACATTTCACCCACTGACACAAAAAGTTTGATTTGGAAGTGATGTGATCTATAAGATTCCTAACCTAATTTTAAAATTTTCATGCCCATAAAAAAGTTTGCTTAGGCTTAACTCATAAATTTATGTAAACATGCCAAACACACTCACATATTGCATGTCATAAAATTTCACTTGAACACCAATACAAAACGTCATGTATTTCATAAAACTGACAGCAAGACTGTTAGATCAGGAGACTCAGAAAGTCCTGAACTTACAAAACAAATGTTACATGTCCCTGCTTTAATTGCTAGTCCATTTCTAAGTTCAAAGAAAAACAAATTGATTCAGTTACTTGTAAGTCATATACCAATAGCATGTATTGGTTTGGTAAAAACAAGCAAGGTTAGTTAGATTTCATTATGAGTACACAACGAACCCTAGATTATCTTCTGATGGATTATCTATAGACTTTGAATTCCATGATCTTTTCCATGCCTCTGGATAGTTTCTACTGCTATCAGTAAATAGCCAAGGAGTATTAATCTTAACATTTAAGGAGTAATCTTCAGGCTTAACAAGATGACATTAGCAACATAAAATAAGACAACATTTACAATGCCTCCCAAAGTGAAACACTCCACAGATCTGAGATTTTCTAAATATCAGTTCCTTAGAACCCAGTGATCCTTCTCATCGCTGGTGTCTGTACTGTCAATGAGCTCACTTCAGGTCATCCCTGAGCAGCCCCACTTAGGACTGCTAGTATTTCTCCTACCCACCTTACCTCGTTCATTTACTGCCTCTGAACTTACCACCACCATTAAAACAAAACAAAAATTAAGTATACATTTGCTTTTCTGTGTCTTCTTCCTCCATGAAAACAGGGATATTAGTACCTAGCACATGATATGCGTTCAAAATCATAGAATTTGCTAAATGAATTTTGAAGCTATAACTTCTCTGGGCTATAGATGAGAAAATACTCATTGAATCTGAAAGAATATAAGAAAACTAAACTGAACAGACTTTACAAACTCCATGCAACTGATGCCTCTACTACATACAGTCAAGAACACTGGCCTTACACGTGGACAAAATTGGATTTCAGATCACTTATTAGTGATGTCATGGGCAAAATAAACTGTTCGTCCTCAATTTACTCACCATGAAAGAGATGATAATAGCACCAACAGTGTTAACGTGATTAAATGTGGCAGGATGTGTGAAATACTACAGTGTATTGCAAAAATGTTTAATGCAACTGAGCAATTACTCCTTTCCTCCTCTCACTTGGTTTATTTCCTACTATCTCTGAAATAATTTATGCTGAAACTGATTATCAACTTTCTAAGTCCATACAACTAAGAAAGAAGCAGATGAAAGAAAGAAAATAGTTGCCAAAACAAGAGCAGCAAAAAAGAGAAAATGAAAAATTGTAATAACTGGATTTCCAAGGGACTGACTACAGCACAGCCTGCAACAGTCCATGAAGAAGCCACCTGGCCACGAGAAAAGGTTCTCTCACAGCTAATCCAGTTTTAAAATGGCAAGAAAACCTAATTCTAAAATTAGGTAGGTTAACTTCAAAACTGATGCACATTTGGTTTCTTTAAAAAAAAATCATTTTCCTTCAGAGTTTACTTCAGAGAAATAGAATAAAGTAAATAAGACATTATTATGAGTGGACTGGATATCTCTGCTGTAAATACCACCTCTCTATGCCTTTTGTTTTGTTGCTTTTTGTGTGTGTTTTTGAGGGTTTTTTGGTGAAATCATTCTTCCCTCAACGCCTGTAAGGTTCTGTGTCAAGTGTGGATTTCAGGAAAGCAGTAAACAGATGCATTCACTGTCTCAGTGACACTGCTACCATCTTGTAACAAATCTCCATTTATTAAACCTAATTTCCTTTAGCAACAGAATATCAAAGGCCCTCTGAGACTAGTTTAAAAAAATCAAACTTTAAAATGAAAACCACATCCCAAATTTCTTAAAAGACTTTTTTTGTTCGATTCTTTTTTTGTTGTTGTTATTCAATTCTTTTGTAAAAACATTGGTCACCATTTAACATACAGCGACAACAAAATGCACCCAGTTCACATGCATCAACAAGTCAATAAATCATAGCCCACGGACAACGCGAGTTTCAAATGAACAGTGTAAGCAATTCATGTTTCATTTACCATAGTCTTAGTGCTGATAAGAGAGAAACAATTAATATGAGAAACAAGGACTTCCAGTTTCATTCTGAAGTAAGATTCTTGGTGTAAGTAGCACGAAACAATAATTATATATCATTAGCTTAAAAGGAACCGATTTTCAAAAATCACTTGTGCAAAGCACCGTATTACAGCAGAATTAGATCTTGAAAAATGTATTCCACCAGTTAATGACCATAGGGCTTCATTTTTTGAAAATCAATTCTCTATATGATTCAAATTTTTTATTGTGACTATAAAATATCTTTCAGTTTTAAGGTTCTACATTCCATATTTTGGCAACTTAAATAATTCTGCAGTTTCAATTAAACTGACAGATTCTGATAACTAGTCTGTTAATAATATAAATCCCATTAATAGTACAACTGGATTATTTTTAAGAACAAAAAAAGAAAACAAAAGTTATGTCTAAACTTCCAGGTCAAGTTCCTGGATATGGGACTTAATAAGAAGTTAAGCACCACAGTAAAAAAAATTGTAAAAACAGAAAGTTAGGGGCAAAAGCATTTACACATTTACCAAAAAAATTAAGCACTTTAATCCTGATAGGATTGATAGTTGATAATTTGATAGACTGAAAATCTGAAATTTAAAAGATATTTTTGGTGTTCATATGTGATACATGGAAGACATAAAACACAATTTTAAGATTTCAAGTTATATAATCCTAATTTAATCAAATGAGCATGTCACACTATTTTGCATAATAAGCATTTTATATATTTTATTTTATCTTGTGCATTTTCCTTTTCCCTCAAAATTCATAACTAATGGATATCACTAAATCATTCTGAAGTCCAGAGAAGAGAATTTATGATACATTTTCTTGTGAAAAAAAATCTTCCCTGAAAACAAGAGTTGAGAATAATTACGTTTAAATGAAACTTCAAAATAATACTCCTATAAAGATAGTCATTCGATAAGTTTGTCTTCCCTGGTATCTACTTAGCGACATAAATGGTTTTAATAACCAAAACAGTAACTTATAGTTTGTTTCTCTTTTCCATGATGTATTTACTCTGTTATGAACAGAAGTAAATTTCTAGCAGGAGCATCAGGATAAAATGCTAAAAAACTTAAAAGGTTTAAAGTCTGTGAGGCATACATGATTACATGGAGGTTAGATATACAAGACTGGAAACAAGCAACTTCAACCAAGCATATGCCTTAAGCACTTGCACAAAAGAAGAAAAAGATTGAACATGGGAGAAAATACTTCTCTTCATGTAACTTTTGACTACATTATACACTAAAAAAGCAAAATACACGACAGTTTTCACTTTAAAAGAAACTATCCAGAAATTAAGTTCACTAAACATTGAAACTATAATGGAGTATTCAGATCCATTCTATTCAGATGAGATGGAAGATAACACTTTGAGGGTGGGAGGAACCTTCCCAGGCAATACAACCTGCATCTCAGTCACTTTCCAAACACTACTTTAGCTTTACTACCTATAACCTTGGCAATTTCCAACTCTACTTCATTAAAAAAAACTTAGCCTCTTAAATTCCAAGGGCCATGTCCAATTTCTTAGATCCTTCTATTTTATAATTCTTATTCTAAAAGATTTTAAAGTAACCATTTTCTTTTGTTCAGCAGTCCGAACTCACACATATTATTCAGTTTAGGGAAATTAAAGGTAAAAAAATCAACTAGAAGTAAGTACACTTGTTAGCATGTATGGTTGTATGGAGACTACATAATTTCTTTCTAATTAACTTCTGGTTCTTAAGACACTATGGCCAGAAAATTAAAATGAGCAATATATGCTTAAAATTTGCATTCATTTTGAATAGATGTGAGTTAAGAAAATTACTGAAATTATATGATTGTAAATGTTTACTGTGAAACAGTACAAAATTGATGCTGCCAAAAAGAGTAAAAAAATCTCTAACAGATAATAACCTTAAGAAATTTGAAAAAAATCTTAAGGTTGAATCGCATCTATCAGGAAATGACAACAACAACGAATACTTTCATTCATGTACACATGGCTAAGTAACAAAGAAGCAAACCCAAGTCAGTACAGTACAATGGCTGAAACTTAAATACTTTGATATATAAAGAAACAGAAGAAGAGAAAATGCTGACTGCCATTGATGAAAAAGCATTTCAATAGTTTACACAAAACAATACTAAATAGTTTTTTTAAAAAAAGATGTCCTACAAAGACCAAGCCACAATAAGTTAGTGTTTTCCATAATACATGCTGAATTATTTGATCCCATATCTATACAAGGTTTCTGTCTTAACACTTAAATGTCGTGACAGCGTGTCTAATAACTGAGGTACGTTAGTTTACATCTTTTTATAGGTATTCTAAGCAGACTAATTTTTCTCTTCCAGTTTTTCATCTTCTTCACCTCCTCCAAAGAATATCAAAGGGAACATTCCTAGAATGCAGCCAATAGTCACTCCAACAGCTTTGCCCTGAAGAACAGAAAAGAACAATTTTGAAAAAGTTACTATATAGCTCTGAAAAGGGTGTTTTAGCTTAAGTATCCACAATAATTCAGCGCTGACTGTATTTGATGATCATAGCAACAAATATAAAAAATAGGCAGGCATGATGGCACATTCCTATAATTCCAGCACTGGGACACTGAGGCAGGAGGACTGCTGTGCTAAACTCCCAGTGAAAAGGAACATTAATTGTCATAAAAATAACATCGAAGAATGTTAAATAAAAAGCACCTTTTAAAAATTGTACATGTTTGAATGTCAGAAGAAGGGAAGGCACCCTCAGCAACTACTCTCAATGTACCTGGATTTGATATCTCTTGTATATATTCCTTTTCAATATTCATTCCCATGGACACCTAATTATATATAAATTCAGTCAGCTTTGTTTTTCCAGCCTCACTTCACTTGCTACAGCAACATGTTATAATAAACTCTTTTCCATGCTGCTATTTAAACAATATAGACTTCTAACTTCTTTCGAATTGGTGATCCTATAATCTACTTAAAAATTCTCTTTACCGTAAAAAGCCTCCACTCCTACCTCTTCACCACTGTGCATAACAATGAAGCTTCTGTGTGCATTTCTTCGGTGACTTATTTTAAATCTAATGCTAGCATTTATACATCTTCACAGGCTATTGTCATGCTGCACACTCTTGACAAAACTGCGTGTATGCACATGACAATTTCAACATATTATAAATACATAGCATTTTTCTGCAATTTCGCCTGTATCATGAAAAATCTTAAATCTTTACTTCTGTAAATGATGTTTAAAATCTACATCCCTATGATAAACGTAAGTTTAAACACTTCCAGCTAACTTTCATCTCCTCACACAAACTGAGAGTCCACTCTGTGCTGGCTGCATCGGGAGACGGCCTGAATAGATGCAGTCTCTGTCCCTGGGAGAGCATGTCTAGGTACACGGAGGACACACGGACAGTATCGCAGACGCTCCAACAGCTACATAATCTATGGTCTTAAATAAAACGTATTCTGCAATTGCTATTTAGTTAGCAGGTCCTACAGTCTTTCTAACGAAACACTGAGACACTGATGTTCTGATAGCAGCCTGCACAATACTTTTTCATTATCTTATCTCAAGGTATTTGTTGGTGGTGACGGTGAGAGCAGTAGCATAAATAGTGAAATTCGTCATTTTCATTATGTCAAAATGTTGAAAGGTACCAACTCTCCAGAGTTTAACAAGCAGAAATTTTCTTCATTCCAGAGGCTGCTAAAGTTAATCCTAGATTCTTATTTTCACTTAATGTTTTTGTCTACTTATATACTCATAGGGACTATATTCTACTGTAGCCTCCTGACTTTCCTGAAATGACAGACTCCATTTCCACTTCCGTCCACTCTATTGGAATATTCTTACTACTGTCCATACTGCTTAGGCTTTCCTTTCCCTCACTTTACGAATGATAGTCAAGGACTCCTAACCCAGCTATCTCAAAGAGATATAAATTCACAAGGTCAGAAAGGGAGGAAAGAAGTAATTATCTTCTTTTGGCTCCCTGACTCAGATCCTAAAACATTGTATTTCCATTGTAAAAAGTTATTTATATATTAATAGGATTTACAATACTATAAGCCCTATATTGCAACTAATCTGAGAACTTTAGTCTGTCCAAGAGTTTTATCAGAAAATGTTTCCCAAGTTCAAAAATCCAAGTTTCAAATGAGGTTTTCAAATACAACCTATGTTAACTGGAACGGCATGTGTATTTTCATATCTTCTATTATGGGTAATTTTCAGAGGTAGCTATGTCATGAATAAATAGCTGATCACTAACCTCAAATATGTTAGACTGTGTGTAATCAAAACGCTGTGTTACAGAGCAGATTTAATCCTAACCTAAACAAGCAGAGTCAACAACTGAGGAGCAGAATCTCTGCTTCAGTATGTTGGTAGGGACTTAATCAAGGCCTACAATAAATACAGACACCCTAGTTTAGTAAACTAGGTACTTATGTCATAAAATATGGTAAACAAATCTCCTTATAGAAAGAAAACAGAATTATGATTTACGTGAGACGAGACTTCCAGGAAAACAAACTTTTCCTGATCCCAACTGTAACATAAAAACTTTAAGACAGATTCCTACAGTCTGGCTAGTAAGACTAGTAGTAGTAAGACTAGTAGTCTGGCTAGTTTCCCCTAGTAAGTCTGGCTGATACCTGATACTCGCATTACTTATATTTACCTACACATTTGTGCACTGGGACAAATACAACTTAAAAGCTTCAAATTAACCTGCTGTTTGCTTCACACCGTCCTTTCTTAAGACTTATGATCCTTTATAAAGTAAACTTGTAACAAGCAAGTGGTCTTCATTTGGTTTCTACACTGTCTACGTTTCAGGTGAAAGCTACACACTTCCCAAGTTTAGCAGTGACCTTCACCACTATAACACAAAGTATAAAATTTGTTCCAAAATATCTGTCCTTACTTCAAATAAAGTGACAAAAGTTTAATTCAATCTTAGCCTACATATATATTTCTATACTTTAGATGGACATTTTTCAAGTACCAATTCTGTTTACAGTACTTCCAAAAGTTTCATTTTAACACCCTCACTAAAACAAATTGTTTAACTTAAATACATGAACTTTACATATTATCTTTTTCCTCACTTCCCATTAACATTTAAATCCACTCCCATTTGATTTTCCTCTCCCAGTAGTCCATGGGAATCACAAGAAATGATCCCAAAGAGCAACTTATAGTAGGTCTCACGGTATCACTGAGATCTAGGAACTGCTAAGGATGTAAAAGCTACAGGAAGAGAACAGTATATGCATTTAACCTATATTCCTCCTTCTGTACACTTTAAGCCATCTCTCAGTTACTTACAGTTTTTAATACAACCTAAGTGTTATTTAGTTGTTACACTGTATTGCTTCAGGAATAACAACAAGGGAAAAGCCTGTACATGTTCAATAATGGCACAATTTTTTTCCATCTGTAATAGTCTGAATTTACAGGTCCAGAACCAACAGATACTGAGAGCCAACCATAAATAGTAAATCTTCTTAGAAACCTTACTTTATAGTAAGAGAAACTGATTGCCACTTGTTGCTTCTTTCAACTTTTTCCTTGCAAATCTCCAACGACCATGAGCTTGCAGGTGGTTTCATTTGGCACGTTTTCTCAATAGTAGGAGATTTGATTGCAACCGAATTACATTGAGGGCTTTTTAAACACAAGCTCCCAGATCTTAGCTATATAGTCTCTGACTCTATAAAATTGTAGCAGACAGACTTTAAAGTGGCCACGACCTGCTGCTTCTGGTATTCATGGCTCTTCATAAACTCCTCCCATAGAACACAGGCGAGACACTTTAACACGCATCTAACCAACAGAACAGATGGTATGACATGCTGCTTCTGTGATTGTATTGCATTAGGTTAAAGGCTCTGTCTTGCCTGCATACTTATTTTGTCTCCCTTACTGGCTCTGTAAGTTTTAGACAGTGAGGGGAAGTCTCTAGGAGATAACGATAGCTTCCAGTCAATGCATATAGCACCTTCTGGCCAGAGGTCTGAACCTTTACAGCCACAAGAAATAGCAAGGTGTGATTGAAAAAGACAATGAATGAAAATAAAAGCATCAACTAATTATTTTTTTAAAAAGAAAAATACAGTAAATGTTTAATTTTTCTTAATTTATTATAGTAAAAGACACGTTGTCATCAGGCATGGTGGTGAACTCCTATAATCCCAGTACTCGGGAGACTGAGGCAAGCGGATCATTGCAAGTACAAGATCAGTTGGCTACAAAGTGAGCCCAAGGCCAGCCTGAACTGCATTGCAAGACCCTGTCTCAAAAAGACAAAAAAAAAAGACACGTCATTGATTTCACTAAAAATACTCTCCCTCTCTTAAATACACTTACCCCATCCGTCTTGCCACTTGCTGAATCACTCCTGAAAGTCCTCTTTCTTGAATGTCTAGTTGTACTGTTGTCACTTTCTCTATGTTCTGAACTGACTCAAAACATTTACCTTCCATGGTCACTTTGATTTTGGGGGAGAGCCAGAAGTTGCCCAGTGCTAGCTCTGGGGATAAGGTCGGTAAGGATGTACCGTAATGGTTAAACATGCCATATCCTCATTGGATGGCACTCTCCAGCAGCATTCCCCACATTTTTGATCATACATGTCAAGACACTCATGAAGAAGGACTTCCAGAACTGCTTCAGAAAGTGGCAAAGACCACAGGAAAAGTGTGTTGAAACCAGAACTTTTTTGAGGAGGATTAATGGCAAGATGTCTTTTACTGCCATAAAATTTTATTTAGACATTCATGGTATATTTTGGCCACTCCTTGCAACTTTGTGAACAACCTGTCTTGGCTTGGAGGTGGATCCATCCCCAATTGAAGCTCAAAACAAAAGCCACGTCCAGCCCACACGTGACTACAGCCACTCAGAGAACCTGGATAAGCTGTGCCTGGTCTCCTGACCCACAGAAATGAGAGGTGTGACATGTGCTGGTATGTGCCACTAACTTTTTATGTAGCAATAGCTGGACCTAAGATGGACACTGACAATTTACATTTCTAGCAAATTCCTACAGCAGTCAATCCTGCTGGTACAGTACCTTACGTGAAAAACCACTCCCCTCCAACCTCACCTTCCTTCTCCCACAGTAATTCTCATCTGCCTTAGCAGTGAGGCCTACAGCAACTTTTCTGCTTAATACAATTGGCCTCATCTTAGTACTCCAACCTCTTTTACTCTGCTCAGTCTTTTTTCTCCACATAATAATTATCAGTTTCTAAAATACTAAATATTACATCAGATCCTTTTATTGTCTTCTCTTTACCTGCTAAATGTAAAGATTCACCAGGGGGAAAAAACGTCCTTTGGTAACACACATATTTAGAACTCCTAGAACTGTACTTTACACACAGCAGTAAACATTTGTTGACTGATGATTGATACTCATCAGCTCTAATTTAGGTCCCACTAACTTTAACCCATTAACCCTAATGCTATTGATTGATCTTGTACATAATTCTATTATAGCACATGTCATGCCAAGTGATAATTTGCTGTTAAACAAATTATTGTTTTATTGAAAACCAAGACTTTCATAAATTTAACAACTCCTCTTGCATCAATGTTAGTCTCAAAGCCCTGGAGATACAGCTCAGAGGCAGAGTGCTTCCCTAGCACACACGGCCTGGGTTCAACTTCCCTCACCAAAAAAATTAGTCTCTGAGAGGGCCACAAACTCTGCCTACCAAATTCATTATCATTAACCACATAAAGTACTTACCAAATGTGTACTAACACGCGTTTGCCACATGTCAACTTGCTTTGGTGTCAGATCAGGAATTGACAAGCCTAACCTGGAAGCCAAAGCTTCGACATAGCCCGCAAGTCTTTAAAAAAAAACAAGAGAACAAACAATAGGTTTTTAAAGAAATATAGGAGAATCCTCAGATAGCAAAAAGTAATCACTACAAAAAGAACCAGGATAATTTTATGTCTTGTGCTTGATACTCTAGAAATGGCACAAACATTTCTGATAACATTTATTTTTATTGTATATATTGCTTTTAAAATGTTTTCATACAAATATATTTAATACAGGTCAGCAATTGCTCTAAGTTAATCTATCATTATCTTCAAAAAATCAAGGTATACAAAAACTTTTTTACAAATATATTATAATTATATTATTATAATTATTATATTATAATTACAAATTATAATATCTGTTCTTATTCCAAACTCAAACCAAATTACTTAAACATAATATAAATTAATAACTACTATCAGAAGGCAAAAGCTTTTAAAATCTATCAGATTGGAATACAAAGAATGATAGCCTACAATTCTCAGGCCAACGTCAAGTATTTTATCAATTCTAAGTTGCCTCCACTATTATATATAACCTTACTTTACGAACTTAAGAAAGAAAAAGTTTGTCATTTAACTGTATGAATGGATCCTGGTATCAGTGAAGTTTGTAAAAACTGTGCATCTAAAAATCTAACACTGTAGGATTTATTATTCGTGAGAGCAAAAATATGGTACAGGAGAAATACTTTTTAAATATAAAGACTCCTAATAAATTCATCTTTAGTCAAAATCATTGCTCTGTGGTACAGTCTCAAGCTAAATCATTTTAAAATCTATTAGATTTAATTTTATTAAATACATCACAAAGCTATATAGTCACTATATTATCATGATTAAATTTGGAAAGTAGAAAATGGAAATAATGAAAAGGGATATCCCTGTAGACATATCAAGAATTCAATTCTAACCATGATACTAAAACAAGCAAACTGCTTTGAACAGTAGCTTTTGCCCCAAACGCTAGGATGGTGACAGTGAACCTTTTATAGCTTCCAGTGATACAAACAGCCTGCCACACACATTCGCCACCACTGAAGTGCATACATATAATACTGAGGATTAAGTCACATAGAAAGCTGCCTTTTCCTAGATTATAGGGCCAATTTGACTTTCACTGAGACCAAATCCAAGTCACATCACTAAAATTAGCCAAAAAAGGAAGATACAAAGGCAAAGCAAAGCAAAAGAGAGATATTTATCATAATTACTAATGCCAATTTCTCAGGCTTTCCCAAGCACATAAAGCAGGCCAGGCCATCTCCGCTTGAAAGAAACAAAGCTTTTATAACAGGTTAACCTCAAGCTGTTTCAACATTTCTGACACACGGAATAAAGAGAGAAAATGACCAAATACATGTGTCAGGAGCTTAGAGGTCAAGTACATGGTCAGCATGGACAAGTGCTTAGGTTTAATCTTTAACAACATTAGTGTTATAAAAAATAGATATATGTAAATATATATGGCTATATATTTGTGTGTATGTGCATGTGTGTGTACATGAGTGTGCTCTGGGCCATCATTTCTTTTCAAAGTTTCACTCTCCAGTAAACATATCCAGTCAACATTCTCAAATTTATTCTCAGTACCTCCTATCTCTGGGCTTTGTGGGAAAGGGACAGCATGGAATAATGATAGAGGTTCTTGCTTTTAATACTCATTTACCCATAGAAATGTATGTGAATTTACATCTTCAGTACTTGTAATTCCATCTGGTTTATGTTATGGTAATTTTAGAATAAATTTTTGTACATAGTGAGAAAATCCCATGCCCAGAAACACTAATTCTGTATGACTGGGGTATAACTAAGGTATCTATATTTGAAGCCCACTAACCAAATATTCAGCACTTAATTAGCTCATGCTATTAAATTCCAAAATTTAGCACAAAGTAAGTTGTCATTTTTATGCTTCTCAACTAAAGGAAATCTGAGAAACAAAAAATATATAACTACCCAAGTGTATAAAAGAATAAATGAATAAACCTACCCAAGTCCAGCTAAATCTGACACAAGATTTCCCAAAGCAGCAGCTAAAAATTTAAAAACGGACAAGTAAATTGTTACAGAATAGTCAAAAAAATCATAATATATCACTATGTAATTTACTGGTCTAGAAGCATCTTTACATTTACCTGATTCCAGCAACTCACTGGATAACTCTGAATCTCAAGAGGTTCAAAATGACACAAACCTGAAATCACAGTTTTCTACCTCCATGAAGTAGTAGGTTTTTTGTTCTTATTTTTGTTTTCCTGTTATATCAACCATTTTCCATGTTGGTTTCAATACTGAAACATTTATACAATACTTTACTCATATATGTTATATGGTATTTATTTCAGGGAATTCGAATAGTTGGCCATTAAAGAATACCATATAGACAACTCCAAAGAGTCAAGGAAAAGAAATGCTTCTTGTACTAACTCACTTTGATCTCATAGTTTGTTACAACAGCACACAACCATTTCAAAATCTCACGATTATGAAGAATAAAGTGATGAGACAGAATTTCAATCTTATATTGCATTTTAGAATTTTTCCATCCCACTAGAAAATAATTTAATAGAGACAAAGGGTAAAAGAGGTTGGAGGTATGACTGAATTACTGCAAAAACTTCTCTTAACATAGATATAATACAGTATTTTTACCCATTAACTAACATGAATTACGTATAATTTCTTAGAAAATAAAAAAATGCTACATATACAAAACTAAGAATCATACATATACAAAACTAAGAAGATTATGACTAAGGAGATAATCTCAATAAGTAAATTAATTCCAATAAATGATCCTCTTCTAACTATAACCCACTAAGATGCTTTATAAACATGGAGACAATGGAGTAACAATTGCTATAATTAAATACCTGCCATTGTTGAAATTCCCAAAATAATTCCAATAGACAACTCAATCTGGGTTCCCTGAAAAATGATTACAAAAAAATCTTAAAAATTAAAGCTGAAGTGATAATAAAAATAACAAAAAGTTACCAAAAACATAAACAGTTATATCAATGTCAGCACAGACAAATGCAAAATGGCAAAATTATAGCCATAAAATATGCAGATAAATGCACATATAGTGAAGTAATTCACTCAATCATTAAGACTACATATTCATGCAGAAATAACATCAATAACATTTTATTCATTGAAATTAAGGCTTCATAAAAATTAAGGCTTTATAAAAAATTGCAGTACACACAGAAATAAAATTCATCACTAAATCCCCAGTTCTGTTCTGTTTTTTTCCATCACAGAGAAAGATGAGTTAATGTTTTCTGAATACAAGATCAACTTACATCATCTTAAATTCTGGATGATACACCTATACTATTGTTATTTACTCTATCAAAGATTAAAACTAGTTTTTAGAAAAACCAGGGTTTGTGAAAACAATCCTCATGACATTTAAATTTTTAACCATTAAATGATGAAACCATATAATTCATTCCTAAGTAATAACAGCATTTAGTGTAACAAGCCTATAGTAAAAAGGAGGTCCCATTGTATTTCCATTGAATTTATTTACTCAAAGTTTAAGATGTTCTACAATGATGTCATTGTTCCTCTGAAAAGAAGAAGTGGAGTGAAGAAGATTAAATTACCTTCATAGTCTACTATAACTAATGAGAAAGAAGTCCCAGGATCTATAGTATTGTGCTAATTCAATTGTAATCTTGCACCAAGGCTGTACTTAATTTTCAAGAGATCTCTTCAATACTGACATCTGAAAGTTAACGTTTGAATTTCCATGATGTGGCAGGGGAAAAAAACAATGTTCCATTACACAGGTATATTGCATTACTTATCAGTGATTTGCAAACTGAAAAGAAGGGGAGTTCCCTTAATTTTCTTGTCTATAGGATTTTTGGTTCCACCCTTTAAGATAGTTATAGCTGAATATCAATGAAATAATCTAATGCATGAATTACTCAGGCACTTAAAGTTACAAGTTTTCTGAAGGCACCCAAAGAAAGAGATTCTGAAAACAAAAGAGAAAGAAAAGGAAAAAACCGCACAGTGAAAAAGAATGAAGATGTATATCTTTATCTATAAATGAAGAAAAAAAAATCTAGAGAACCCTATAAAAGAAAGATTCTTCACAGCTACAATATACCGCAAAGATACATGCCAACTCTGATGCAGTGAATCACTGGCAATGACCAAGAAGAATTTCTTTGCAAAATCTGTATTTAAAAAGTATGTGCTTAATCATTTGGCTAAATTTCAGCTTGAAGGTCCCCCTAAGAACATGAAAAGCCTTCCAGTTCAAAGATGTTTTAAAAGCAACAGACCCCCTTCTTTACTCCATCCCACATTTCCATAAAATTATGTATTAACAGGTAAAGTAGAAACTATAAATCTAATACTAGTTACCTTAAAAGTATACCTGGTTTATCACCTTAATATAATGAATCTTTTTAATCTATTCCAGAATTCTTTAAAATTCCATCCCAATTAAATTTTAAGAAAAGTAACCCCCAAATCCACTACAACACAAGTTACAGAAAGCAATTCAATAATATAAAAATACAATAAACTATGAAACCTAAGGTTCAATTAATAGCAGCAAACAGTAAAGGTCTAATTCATTACAAGCAGGACTTTGTCCTTATAACTATACCTAGGGTAGCAGCCATGAAAGTACCTTTAGTAGGTAGCAATGGCAAAAGAAGACAGAAGAATCAAGTAACACCTCACAAATTCGTAGCTGTTCTACAAGATAAGGAGGTAATCAGTGTTTAAAACAAATAAGATAAAAAAGATTCTTCAGATAATGAAGATCACTTATTTCATTTCTTATAAATTCTACAGTTACATCACTTGCCTATTTAGTCTCAGCATTCCATTATAATTCCTCACTGAAAAAGTCACTGTGAACTAATCTGTAATCATCACTGGACAGTACATTTGCCGTACCTATCACTCCTATCAGGAGCTGATGTCAGGGTTGGAAGTATTTATTTCAGTAAACCCTAGTGATAAACCCCTGAAACTGTAGCTCAATATAAACAGAGTAACAAGTTGCTATTACTGGAGTCAATCCTCTCAGGCTGGAGAAATAGTCTACTCTCAGTTATACTAACATGAAGCACAGGCCTGAGCAGCAAGACTAAAATAACTTCGCTCTCAATATGAGTCTTTTATTTGGTATGTTTTGGTAGCTATATTCAAACAAAGACAGCTGTGACTTTAGATCTTTACTTTAAATAAGAGTATACTGCAAAGGTCTTAATCAAAGTTTAAAAAACTACCAGTTTCCCTCTTGTAATAACTCTCATCAACATATTTGTACTTTTCTCATTATGCAAATTCTCCACAATTCCCTATAGCAAAGATAATGTTCCAGCATCAGATTATGTAAGCTCTACCATCCTGACGTGAGAAACGGAAGGGCCACTAAGGTGTTAGTATGGGTCAGTAAAGAGAATCTAGTGAAATCATGTGAGAGTAAAGAAATGTCTGCCACGAAGATACTCCGAATCAGACAGCCTATTTATGAACACACACAGCCTTACATATAGTTTATGAATTCATCATAATGGAGCTTCCATTTCAATTAGATTGGATTACATTAACTAATCTACTTAATTCAAATTTAGTAGCTTCAAAAAAGGAAATGTGGCCCTCAATGTAGTGGGACCTTGGTTCAGGAATGCTTTTGTTTGCAAATAATCTGGTGCATGACTAGAAGTGTTTGGCAAAATTGTGTTTGTTTGCAAACCCTGCTATGAGTGACAAACACGACCGTGGGCATCTTTCCCTCACACACAAATGTGGCCATCTTTTCCAAAACCACAGAACAAATTACCTCTATGAATGGAGGCACTGCTGTACTGATTAAGTCTCTACATTCACAGATGTACAAATTGACAAACTTTATTCTTATATGTGTATTACAAAAATGCCATAATTAGTCCAAAAACTACCATTTTAGAATTACATTTTATGGGCACTCATTTAACGTGTGTCAACCTTTAAAAATCTGGTTCTGCCAGACTACTCAAGTGTACACGCAGAGCTGCTCCTGGTACAGCCCTGCTGTGTGGATCCTCCGGGTGTCTCCGCCAGGTGAGTAACAGCACATCTGCTCCTCATTAACCTGCATATAGTGTTAGACTACACAGGAAACAAGTGCTTCTTGAGTGACCAACATTAGCTATGCTTTATCATCTACATAATACAATGTAAGTTACTTTTTAAATCTATGTCTGTTTGCAATACTCATGAACTCCAAAACACCAAAAGAAACCGTGTATTTCTCATGCATTTTCCTTATATTCAATAATTCTAAAATTATCCTGTGTTTTTGGTTTGGTTTTGGTACCAACAAGGAACTCGGAACCTCATACCTGCCAGGCAGTTGCTTATGCCACTAAGCTAACTCCCCAGTCCATGTTTTTGGTTTTTTATTGCTTTGTTTGTTGGTTTTTCTGAGACATGGTCTCTCTAGTTTAAGTTTCAACGAGGAGCAATCCTTCTGCCTCAATCTTCCAAGTACTGTGATCACAGATGTGTGCCCTCATGCCCAACTTTATTTTTTATTTTTGTTTTTGAGCAGGCTCCTACAATATAGTCTAGCTATCGTATAAATAATAGATAATAGAATGTTTTTGAAAGTTAAGAGCCAGTGTCAGACCCTCAGAGTTAGAATAGAGTTCTAACTCAGAACCTTGACATTCTCAAATGAGTTCTAATAGAGAACTCATAAACTAGATACTCCTTGTCCTACTAGGGTACAGGTAGACAGGCTTTGATGAGTTTACTGCTAATATCTGAGAAGGATGACTGCATAAAGGACTCTAAAAATATGTACTGAAAGCAGGTAACTGCCTTCTAAACTAAACTATATAATCAACTGTATTTGGATGAAATTGGAAAGAAAAAAAGAGGGTAAAGAACTGGGAAGTTTTAAACACTTGCATTTAAATCACAATCTACTCTGTTAGAAATATAGCTCATACATCAGTACTCAACAGTAAGAGGAATTACTACCGGTAAGAAAGATAAACAGTCACCCTTAAGAGGAAGCCACACTTTTAAGGAGCACTCTTACATTAAAATGACCACAGCAAAGGGGGACTTTCTGCAATACAACAAAATGCAGAATAGCAATATTTTCAATGTTCTAAACTGAAATTTAAAACAGCTAGACGAGAGGCTAGACTATCAGAAACCTACTAAAATATTTTTGAATGGGAAAATTCAATATGGAATTAATCAAAAAATGTGCATGTGAGATGACTATAAACACAAAGAACATCAGAAAAAATTCTGTTTAACAAAATTGTCAAACTACAACAGAATAATACAAGCCCTGCATGTTTTGTCTAAATGCTCTGCCAAGTCTTAATGATAAATATATATACTTTCAAACTGAGCTAGTCTTGTTAATATGAAATATAGTAAAAATAGTTTGTTCGTTATGTTAATTAAAATTTTATAACTATGATAGGTAAATCAGGAAAATGTAGATCACATTAGTTTCTTTATCAATTCAAAATAGAAGTTGTGAGAAAAAGAACTTACTGCAACAATCATAATTGCATTATCCAAAAAGCCAAACCCTACGAAAGGTATCGCATTGTGGATGAATACTGAAAAACATCAAGAAGAGAAAAATATATTTTAAAATTTCCATAACTTTAGAATGACAAAAACAGATCATATAATTAAAGCGTCCCCCACTGACTTGATAATTTTTAGAAGTTCCTTTTCAACAGATCCTGATACTGCTGTAAGTTTCACTACTTGACAAAAGCTATGCTGGAGAAACAAAACAATGTGCAATAAGTTTAAAAAAAAAAAAAGTTGTGCTAGGCCTTTGTATGTAATCTATAAAATTGCCAAGCATAGTCAATATCAAATTAACTGAGGACTTTTTCTCCTGTCATTTACTTATTTATTTATTTAGGAACTGGGACTCAAACTCAGGACCTCGTGCTTGCCAGGCAGGCACCATGCCACTGAGCTATATCCCTGTCCTCTGAGAACTTTTTTTTCAATAAACATCACAACTGCTGAGTATTACACTATATCAAAAAAAAAAAAAAAAAAAGTCCCTTAAGCCAACTGGATACATGTATTAGGTGACTTTGGAGTTTTTTTTCTTTTAATAGAGTTAAGCCCACAGAAAGGATAATTAAGCTATTACCCAAAAGTTATGAAAGGTTGATCTTATAATGACTTCTATACTAATCATTGAAAGCTGATAAGCAGTAAAACGAGCAAGCAAACAAAACCTCTACCCACAACCTCTATCAAAAACTAAGCCCAATGGGAAATAAAACATAATAGGATTATAGTTATATAATATTACATGAGATAGTAATAGATATATAATAGGTCTTAATTAAAAATATCCAAGATCAAGAACAAAATATTTATGAAGGTTATTAAAAACCTATTAGCATGATAAAAATCAAATAGCATATTAATAAGATTCAAAGGCTTTAGCCTTAAAATTATTTTACTTTTAGCCTGCCTAGGTACTTACCTGATAAGACATTCACAATGTTACAGTAAGTGGCTTCCAAAACATATACACAATCTCAATTTCCAAAAACATAAACAGGTCAGAAGTGTATAATAACATGTTTAAAAGTACACTAAAAAAATAAGACACTGTAGAGGACGCTGCTTAAGTATATCCGAAAATCATCTTTCCAGTGGTCTTTGAAACATAAAAATGGGCTGGGGATTTAGCTCAGCAGCATAAGCACCTGCCTTGCAAGCAGGCGGTCGTGAGCTCGATTCCCGGTACCGATAAAAATGAAAAAGACAAAAAAAAAAAAAAAAAAAGAAAAGAAAAGAAACATAAAAATGGCAAAATACTGATGAAACCAGTTGGGAATGCTTAGCCTGTTCGAGTTAATAGCATCTCTAAAATTGGCCAGTTACAAATACCTTAGAATTTAGGTGTTAAAGACGATAAAGTTAGATTGTACTAAATACTACTATTCTGGTAAAAAGTTGGTCAGTAAAACTAAAGCATGTTGTTACAACAGCCACTTTGAACTACAGATATATTTTTATGTTTATACCCAAATGAGTATTGTAGACAAAAATTTTTAACCCAAAGGGAAAAATGTGATTTCTTAAAAAGAGAAAAAAATTGTGTGTGTGTGTGTGTGTGTGTGTGTGTGTGTGTGTTGGGTGCTATCCTGAGAACCTAAAATACAAAGCTGATCCCAAGTCCTTAAAGGATTTTAGGTATAAATGACATATCCAACTAAATGGTGAAATTCAATATGGCCTACATGAAAATGATAAAGCATTATATGGTACTATCAAAATAGATTTTATTAATCTAAGAAGAATTAGAAAAGATTACTTGGGAAGAGAACTCAAACTGTTTTAGTATTTGAGGAACATTACTAAGTTCTAATATAAATTATATTCTACTGTGAGAGAAAAAAGAATCAGCTATTAGTTTTTCTCCAATTATATGAATTTGCTGTATAATGATCTAATTTTTAATTTCTTCAATTTCCTTTGGAAAACACTATTCTGTAATTTAACAGTTACTAGTAAATCACATTTAATATTTAGCTTTAATTTACAACCTACTCAAATTCACTACATAATTCTCTTCTTCCATTATCTTTATACTAAGATCCTAAACTCTTTTACATAAGTTAGACTTGCAATATTTATTCCTACCAAAAAGAAAGAACACTAGTAGCATTATAAAAGGCTTTTTTTTCTTGGTGGTTTTAAGCGAACTTTATTTTTTTCCCACTGTATGTAACAGTTAACAGGAAGCATTTCTATGTCAGAAAACAGTTCTACCCAACTAGAAGCCTAAAAACTCCAATTATGCAGTTATGTGACTTTCATTCAAACACATCCTTTTTTCTGGGAAGCAAATATACACTGAAATTTTCCCTGGGAATTAAGAATACTTCTACAATATGTTTAATTCTCTTTCATTTTAGGTGGTAAAGATATTTTAACTATATTAGATTCTTTTGAAGAACAGCAGATATTCCATAATATTGTGATGTCTTAAACTAAGTTTATAAAGTACTTCTGCATAATAAATGGGGTAATCCACTCTTATCTGGAAAGATCTGGTTTACTTCCATGCTATCAGCAAATGATAGTTATTTCAAATCTAAAATACGGATGCACAAATATTGAACAATTATACAATCATTACCATATCTCAGCTGTCCTGGGGTGGGTGGTTGAGCTTCCAACTTTTCTAAAGGGGAAAAAAAGAGCGTGGGGCAAGAATTAGTTACAGTAGCATGATCTTTTTATTACAATTAAAAAAGTATCAACAGACATAGAAATGGAAGAAATCAGAGTTTATTCATAAATTGTATTTAGGTTAATGGGCCAAAATTATTCATTTACAAGCATATTAATCAGTATGGATTAGATGACAAGACGAACAAACAAAGCTGAGCTTTAGTCACAACCCTATGAAGGGCCCTAGACCCTTGTCTTTTGTTTTCTTTTAGGTGTTTGCCCTAATATGAAACTGTTTACGTTACAATAGAAAAACACTTCAGAAATACAACTACTGTTTTTTAATAAAACAGTAACTCTAAAGAATGTCAAAATATATACAAATGCTGACAATGAACAAAGAATACTCAAAGACAACTAGGCATTATTTTTTAAAAGGCAAAGTAATATTTTAAAGCAATATAGTTGCAATGATGAATTTACTGGGTTGTGCAATGTTTAATTAGTTTCATTTGATAATATACTGAATATTTTTATTTTTGATACACGACTGGATAATAGAGAGTATTCTACACACTGCAACAACCAAGAAAGTATCATGCTATCTACAATTGTCAGTAATATATTAGTTATATGTCAGAGAGTTTCTCAAACATTAAAGTATCTGCAATATTGAGCCCATTAATATCATCAGTACTGACCCATATCAGGTGTAAAACATGGACAAACAGGTTCTCAAGAACTGCAGACGTACATAGCAATAATTGTTGTATCCTTGATTCTTGTATTTACTTTACTTTTGTGGATTTCCAGTTAGGTCCTAAGATTGTTGGGGCAACCCCTAGGGATCTGGCATGGAGCAGTATTTTAAAATCAAGTCTCAAGCAGGAAAAAGAGGGCAGAATAAGAGCCATCCTGATAACTGTAACTGAGCCACAAATAACAATTCCCACACTTCAGCACCAAGAAATTTTGCTGCATCACAGGGTGGAACCTCTGCCTCTCAGGGAGTCATTTTCTCTCTCTCCTTTGCAATTGGCACCAAAGAAGCCAGACGGTGGGGGAATCCATGGAGTGTTTTCAACCTGTCTACCCTGTTATTGAAGTTCAAGTTCCCCATAACCCAGGGCAAGTTACATGTCTTCATGAAGCTGTATCTCTTAAATCCCTAGAAGAATGAAAAAAGGCTACTACTGCTATCATGGCCCTATGGCTCCCTTTACATTGAGTTTAGTAGAGTTCCTACGACATCAGATTATGGCCCCAAATGATTGGAAAGAAATAACTAAAGCATATTTAAGTCTAGGGGATTATTTATTGTGGAAAACAATTTTTTTTGAATGGTGCACAAATCAGGCCTTAAGCAAAGCTATTCACAACATGGCCATTATAAAAGATACACTAATCACAGGTATCTGCTGCCACAATCAACTTACTTTTGAATTACAAGAGCAAATTAAACAAGCTGCCAAAAGGGTTGGAGGGAACTTCCTTCAAAGAGTGAGAGACCACTGATTTGCTTTCTTCAAGGTCTTGATGAACCTTTTGAAGATTATGCGGCATGCTTATTACAAGCTTGTGAGAGAATTATTAGTAACACAGGCTGGTGAGTCAGTCGCTCAACAATTGGCACTTGAAAGCATAAATAAATGGTATAAAGAGGTTTTAAGAGCCCACAAAAAGTAGGCTACACTGTCTCCAGAGATTTGAATTTAGGCCGACACTGCCCCTTATATGCACAGGGACTGCCTTGGCAACACCCATTACTCAGGCCGTTCATCCACGGCCTAGAGGAAAGGGAAGAACATGCTCATTTGTTTCAGCTGTGGAGGTGAAGGGCATTTTTGCCCAAGATTTCCCTGCTGCACCTGTAAAGGCAGCACAGCCATATCTGTCCCTTTAACAAAACCTTCTATTATCTGTCCAATGGGTAGCTGAGGATATCAGTGGGCTACTCAGTGTAGATTCACAACTGAAAAGGACAGGACCTACTCCAGGAAACTGCCAGGAAGGCCGCCACAGCCCTGCCAAACAGTAGAGGGGCTAAGGCTTGGGGAGCTTCCCTGAGACAGCACGGCCCTGCTCAGTGCGGCAGGTTCCTAGTGACCAGGGGATAGCGGTACTGATTTGTGGTTTGCTGACTTTTGTTTAACAAACGTTCTCATAATAGACAATCTCAAATAACCAATATGATGCCAACCAACTTGCAAAACTTCTAAAACTTCAACATTTGGCTTCTGTGAGCTGGTAATAGGCTGGCTCCAGCATATCACTGTCTCACTATGGCTTTGTAGTAAGTTTTGATATATGGTAGTGTGATTCTCAAACTCTGTTGTTTTTCAAAATTACTTTAGGAGTACTTGCTTCAAATTCAAGATCAATATAACTCTGCGTTTATTTAGGTCTTATTTTCTTATATCAGTTTTTCAATTTTCAATACACTGACACTGTACATATTTTATTAGTTGTATATATAGCTGTTGTATGGTTTTTGTGATAGAACTGTGGGGGACCAGCGGTGGCTGAAAGATAAGAAGTATGAAATATAAATGACCTTTATTTTGAGAATGTGGGGAAAGATACCCCGACCCCCTGGGGCGTGGCATCTCCATCCCAGGGCGGATCTCTCCGTGGAACACGTGGAGTGAGGCACATAAGTAGCCTCGGTTTGGGGTGGAACCTAAGGGGGCATTAAGGATGCACAGGTAGCCCATTGGTCTTTGTTTGGCGCCATAGGCAAATTCCTAAGGGTGGGGGAGATAGGAGCCCCTTGGTTTTACTGGCTACAGTGTCCTGTCTGGGTCAAAACCCTTTCATTTTGTGCTGTTACAAATCTTCTGTAAATTCCTGTTTTTAAAAAATGGTGGCCATGGCTACAGAGGCAACAACTGCCACGTCCATGGGGGATGGGCAGTGATGAGCCCCTCCCTGGCAGCAAGGCAAGCACCGACCCCCACCCAATCACTGCCACCAAAGCGCTGGTGCCAAAGGGCAAAGCCAAGGGGAAACAGTCCCCCAGGCCAATGAGCTACAGGGTAGCTCACTCACAGCCCTGAGGCAAGAGGGGGAGCTGCAGCCAGACACAAAAGCTGGAAGCAGAAGTCCCAAGCCTCAAATACCAAGTACAAGTGTTTCTTTTCTACACCTAAGAGTGGTAATGGCCCAGCTACAGGACTGCTGCCTTTCGAAGGTTTTGTAAAACTTTCATATTTCCCTCATCATAGGTCTTCCTTATAATCCTCAAAGTCTAAAAATTGTTAAATATGCTCATCATACACTCAAAATTCAATTATAAAAACAAAAGGTGGGGTTTCTTACAAAACTTACACCTCATAATAAGACTTCATTTGGCAGTATACACTGTTAACTTTTTAAATCCTACTACGGATGGAACTACAGCAGCAGAAAGACAATTCAGTCAGGTAAAGGAAAAGAAGCTAGGAAAGATCCTAGCCTACTATACACTTGGGGTAGAGGCGATGCTTTTGTTTTTCCAGAGAATACTCAATGGCCTATTTGGGTGCCAGAACATGTTGTCTGACTGTATCATGGACCTGGACCCAGAGTTCATTCCAACTTTCAAGAAGATGCTTAGTCCTCTGACAGTGATGCCTCAGAGATCACATCACAACTGATAGAAAAGGATAGGGCGAGACTCAACCTGGGGCCAGTTAAAGGAACTGACCCAGGATGCCCCGGAGATGGTAACCAAAAGCAGAAATAAAAAAATCTGAGTAGGTGACTGAGTGTAAAGATAACTGAGCTGAAAGTTACATGAAAGAAAGGGAGATGAAAGTTACTAGTATCCTTTAGACAAAGTAAAATAACAATATATATTAATTATAGATAAAAGATTTTGTCCCAAATTTTTCTTGCAAGAGACCTCTGCTAATTGACCAACAACAATCTCTGACTAGTCTACTTGCAGTTATAAATTTTTAAATTGTAAAAAATTATAATTCAATTTGGTCAAAAATATATTTGAGTGCACTCTGATTTTGTAAATGTTTATTGTCTGTTAAGCTGTGTACTTGAACAGTTGTATTTTGAGCTTAACGTTTTTTTTTCTCTTTTTTTTTCTTTTGCATTTTTGTATCATTTGTTCAAAATTTAATTTGGTTTATAGATTTAAAAAGCATCCTTCTACCTGGGTTGCCAGCTGGTCAAAATGATGCTAAAATTGGCTGTGCAAATGTAATGGATATTGTTGTTTATTATGTCTGGAGAGTCTCTCTTTGTTCAAAACAATAATGTGTTATGTTGTGACTGAGTTTTCATAAGTCATCAAAAATGATTAGGAGAATTAAAAATTCGTTAGGAGGGGAGAGATTGGGTTGGACAGGACTCCAATTAATGATTAAGACAGCAGCTGCCTAGCATAACATAACAAGTTCTTGTCCATTAATGGGAGGCCCTAGTGATCTCCATAGCCTTTGAGAGATACTTCAATAGCTGTTATTAAAAATATATTATTATGATATGTTTACACTGGTCATCATCAAAAGATTAAGTTTTCTAGACAAAAAGATTCTTGACTTAAAGATGCTCTGGCACAAAGGTTTCCATATGTCTGTGACAATTGTTATTATTTTTGTAGTGTATCTAATGCACTTATGTTTTCAGATGTGTGGGTCTTCCAAAGCGTGGAATAAAGATTACTTATGGTGATGACTTTTCTTTCAGATTCAAACATCCACCTTTAACAAAAACTTACGAGATGTACATTCCACTAAAGGCCAACTAGTTAATTAAAAGTTTCTTATGTATTAGATTGTTGGAGATCACTATGAAGCAGCTCTGAGCAGGATTTAAACTTTACTAATTGGCTTTCTGTGTTTATCTGTGAGTCTGTCCTAGGCCTTGGCCCCTTGTCTGACATCGGGAGCTGATTCATAGTAAGTGAAGCTCTATGAATCACTGGTCCTGGCTAAGGCCTAGTGGCCTGTGAGGCAGGAGATACTTCAAAGGGAAACATAAGGCCACAGCTGCGGACACGGACACTCTGGCTCC